CCCCCCCCCCCCCCCGCTTACAGATCATAGCAACCAAAAAAGAACATTACATACATATACCCCGCCCCATTACAGACTGCGACAACCGTATTCACCAAATAGTCGATGGTGGAGAAAAATAACTTGAAATTAGAAAACAAAAAAAAAGATTATTATCGAGTATATAGCAATAATCATAAATGAAATCGAGCGCGCTTAAATGAAAAAAAAAAATTTTCTTTTTTAATATATCTTTTTAATATACAAATAAATAATAAATTCCTGCTCTTTTCATCGATTCTCTACGAAAACAACTATAGTTGATGAGAAGTCTTTCAGTATACAGATGATGCGTCAGGTAACAAAGCTAAAGGTATACGTGAGTTCCACATTTCAGCTCCGCAGGAGCTGCGCTAACAAGCTTTTTTAAGCAGCTTCAAATATTATTGAATAAAACTATCTTAAGCCACTAACAGAGAAATTCTATGAATTCAAATTACAGGTAGAAGTGTTGTTGCTTTGATTTTACTCACCAAACGCAACTGCGAAACCAAATCCTTGATCAGTTCCTTTCCTGATGTTATATTCAACATCAATGGCTCTAATCCACTACGATTGACGAAAACATCAGAAGACAGACGATTTCCAATAATGTGTTTACTGCACACACGTGTGCAAGGAGGAACATAAAGGTCATGATCAACAAGTAGATCAATCCGAGCATTAGTAGTCAGTTCGATCGCTTGACTCGTCAACAATACATGACATATACAGCAACGCGTTCGACGGTCAGATGTTGTAAAATATTCATCAAAGTCGATATTTTGCTGATCATCATCTGAATTAGATGATTGTGATGAATCAATTTCGATTTCATGATCTCGTCGAACAGACAACTCACATGTACAACATAAAAACAAATCTCTATCAGGATTTTCTGGCAGATTGAGTTTCTCCCGAATCCAAGCATAGGAATTGGTGTTGATTAAATGAGTGTTTATTTTGTTCTTCCATCGTTTACAACGACAGCAACAAATATTTGGCATGTTAAAGTACTTTCTGCTATTAGATAATTTCAGATAATTGTTGTTCTTTACGTGAACACGAACAGCTATATATATTTTTATATATAAGTTTAGAACGCATTAGAATTAACTCATTTATATTAAGAAAAAGAGAGAAAAACACAGAAAAGAACGAGAAAAATGTAGAATGCACTTGAATAACCTTGGAAAAAAAACGGTGTTATTCTTGCATAACAAGAGAACCGAAAAGAAGAAACATAGTAAAATAAGGAAACCCTTATCTATAACATTGTCATTGAGATCCTAATGCAGGGCTCAAATCAACTGGACTTATCATTTATCTTTGTTACCGATCGTGTGGATACTAACTATGATACTAGTCAAATGTATATAGTTTCTTACACTGCCATCACCTTTATAAGACTTCATCACAATGGTAATACAAACTATCAGAAATCGTTGACAATATTCTTTTTTTTATCACACACCACATTTATTCTTTTTGACTCGTCTGCAAATGTATCTAATATAGAACACGAAAAATAATAATATATCACATCGAACAAAATTGGAATTTTTCTTATAACACCTTTTTTTCCATCTCCGCTTATAAGTATACGATTTGTTTTGTACTTCAGCAACCTGATAGAATACACAAAACGAAAGGGATAATTTAATCATATAAATTGAAAAGACACTATGTCTTTCGAATGTAATTTTTATTATTCGATAGTTCCTCAATAATTAGGTTCTAATCGACTGGTATGACTATAGATAGTATAGTCATTCTTAAGACAAACGAAGGATAAAGTATTTTATAAGATTTTCAAGTTCAAATTCATTATTAGAGTAGTCGAATATATTGGTGTGTCTATTGATGATGATAAAGATCTCAAATCTAGCCTCACTTCGACAAATATTAATCCCAAATAAGAAATTTTTTTTTCTTTTTTCAAAAAAAAATGAATAATTATCAGTACCCTTTTGACCTTGGCATGAGCATATCTCCCTTCGGACAGAATCGTTTCTCTTCAAATTTGTAGTGATAGTAGTCCGGATTAAAACACAGTTTTTTTAAAAGTTTGATCTTGCAACAACATTCCCTTGTGAAGATATGATTGCATTACTAAAATTTACTATTTGTGAAAAAGTTAAAATTTCGATAAAAAAGATAGAAGTCTTCATTTTATTCGTATTTTAAAAATACTTCAACGAATGCGGGAGAATATTCAAACAATGATATAAATGTAGAGCATTTGACACTCTATCTAACTGCATGTGAGACAATTTTTTTATATGATGAAGTCTAGAAAATCAGTGAACCTTTTAAGAATCATATGAAACAAAATTTTTCCTATTTTTTCATGAATTTCATATACATGTATTTTCACTATAACTCCCCTTCAATAAGGCATATCAAGCTGAAAATTTTATGGTGAATGTATCTCAATTACTTCTACTAGCAGGCCAAATTTCATTGAATTTGGAGAACTTTTTCAAAAACGGCAATGTCCTTTCAGAAAGATATATTCTTTTTATACCAAAATAAATTATGTGTTTGCAATTTTACGTTTTAACATATATATTTAATTTTGTGCAACTCATAGGTCTTTGAATAAAAGAAAATACAATAAATGTAAACACAAATTTTAATGAGATTTATTAGGTTATGAGTAGTTTATTTCAGCTTTGTAGGAGGCTGCAGTGATTGGTTTTTATCAGAGTACAGCGATGTCTGTCGTTATGAAATCAGAATGAAAGTTCATTGCGTCTTAGGTAGGTTGTATTGATCATTTTTGAAAAAATTTAGCTTTTTCTTAATTTATTAAATATTTTATGTAAATTATTATTTACAATTATATAAAAATTTAACATAGTAATGGAGAATAAAATATATAAATGTAAATATAAATACAGGGTGGGCCAAAAGTAAGTAAACAAAGAAATAATTTTTTGATTTTTTCCTTCATACACTATGATATAGATCTCCATACTTATACCACATATAGTACGTGAGATAAGTGAAAGATATAGCATATGAACGATATCCAGATGTACCGGTTTGTCCAAAAACGAACAACTGCAAGATAACCAACAGAAAATTAATCATGTGTTCTGACTGTCATAACACATTTTATTCTATTTCTTTTGGTAGTACTTTTACCTGTTAATAGTGACATCTGCTAGATAATAATACGTACGGTTATCTCTTATATCACCCCATTTATAGTCTTATTTAAAATATTATTTTGGGTATTTTCGGTTCTCTTCGTGCCCTCTGTTATGTGTGTATTTTTAAGAGAGTTTTTTTCAGATTTTTTACGATGAGTGAAAGTTTTCGATTATCCTCATCCGAAAGAATTAATGTCGTAAAGTGGTATGCTCAGTACGAGAATGCTGGCGAAGTTGCTCGTCAATTCGAAGAGCATTATAACCGATCTCCTCCAACACGGAAGACTATTTTGACTATTGCACGAAAGTTCGATGAAATCGAAACTATCGAAGATGAACCTAGATCTGGACGACCTAGATCTATTAGTACCGACGAAAACAGAGAACGCGTTCGTGTTGCTTTCGAAGAAAATCCTGAAACGTCAACAAGAAGAGCTTCTTTGGAGCTAGATCTATCCAGAACCAGTCTTCGTCGAATGATGAAAGAGCTCGGGTTGAAACCATATCGTCCTCAATTATTGCATGCCTTAAGCGAGGATGATCCCGACAGGCGTTGTGAATTTGCTGATGTCTTTCTCCAGTTAGCCGCTGATGATTCTTCGTTTCCTGATCGAATACTTTGGACTGACGAAACTATTTTCAAGCTAAATGGACATGTTAATCGACATAATTGCGTCTACTACGCTGTTGAGAACCCTCACATCGTCATTACTAAAGAAATAAATGCTCTCGGTATTACTGTATGGGCTGGCATTTGGTCTGGAGGTCTTATTGGACCGTTCTTTTTTCATGATTTCGTTACTGCAAACAGTTATCTCGAAATGCTAAAGAAAGAAATTATTCCTGCTATTAAATCTCGAATGAATTTACAAGAAATGTTCTACATGCATGATGGAGCTCCATCTCATTATGCTCAACCTGTTCGACACTTCTTAGATAAAACTTTTCGTAATCGGTGGATTGGTCGGCGAGAAGCAATTGAATGACCAGCACGATCTCCGGATCTCACCCCAACAGACTTTTTTTAATGGGGCGTAATCAAAGATTATGTGTATGCGAAAAAACCTCAAAACC